GTCCTGCGCGTCTAGTATCGATGAAACTTCGTATTTCTTGGCCGACTATACCGTGTTTCAGTCCGTCGCCAGAGCAAATGACACGCGAGGCGTCAGCTGCGCTCGTTACATTGATCTGAAGAGGACATCCTTTCAACTGTCTTCCGTTCCAAGACACGGTCATTAACAGAGGGTCGGGAGTTAGAGGTATGTAACTTGCACGATAAACAGAGTCCCCTGCGCGCGTGAAATCAAATACATAATTCTAAGAAGAAAATATAACGTAACCAAGTTGAGTTACGATCGTTGGAACAGTGACAAGGTAATCACCTAAATGTTGTAGCATCACGTTTAGTTCGTTGGTCGGCGAGAAAAGTTGAACCTTCGGCGTTCCGTTACCAGCTTGAGATCCGTCTATCGTAAAACTAACTTCTTCTCCGCATTTCGCCGACGTCAACCCCCTACCCCTCAACAATACACGACTTGTGTCCTGTACCGGTGGCTGTGAACAAACGATCGAAAGTAAAATGATTCTCGCGTGATCAACAGGTGTCGAATTTGCGAATTTTTCGAAACAAATACCTCTAAATCTTGAACTATAGCTAATTTCGGTGCTCCTGGAAATGGTACACCGTTAAATAATATTTCTAAACGATGTTCACCACCGTTTATTTGTGGTGGAATAAGCTTCAGTCTATTATTCGAAGTCATTTCAAACGATAACGTTTGATCGCCTATCTTTCCGGTAAGTTCGCCTGGACCAGCTTCAGCGGTGTCGAAGCTAATTTTGTTCGACGGGTGTAATTTCAAACGTCCAATATCGTCGCATACAGCCGGCCAACCACCTTGAAGTGGAAAGTATATTAAAACCTGTATAAGTACTGCGATGATTCTCAAACTGTATTACTTACCAATTACGCGAAGATTTCGTGTGTCTATGATTTTTGGATGCCAAGGAGATCCTGGTAGTTGTTGTCCAGCAGAGACCACTCTAATATCAAACACACCAACTTCAGATGGGTTGTAAGATACGTTCCAGGTGCCTGGATTAGCTCCTGCTTCGACAACCGCTTTCGAAACACTATCAGGACCGTCCACCTACACGACACGCGAACCAATTGATTTACTAATATCCGTGAACGAAGATTCGATTAAAGCAATCTGGTACCAAGAACAGTTCTCGAGCGAACATACTTGAACTGCTGGGGGACTTCTTGTGCCGGTTACGATAAAATGTGCCGCTTTATCCACATGACCACTTAACAAACCTTCGCCTTTTGCGCGAGCTTGTCCAGCGGCATCCACCGTGCAGACCAGTGGGCTACCGAGTATAGGGCATCCTCCTGCGCGTGTAGTTTTTGATTATTGGCTCTCGATACGCAACCATCAATTTCGTAAATTAATGCGCACGTTTATCTTACCGTACGTGATGTTGATCATATAGGTACCAGGTACGCTAGGAGAAAATTCTACCATTTCAGCACCATCGTTTAACGGTGTAACCTGTAGCGGGAGCTCTTGGCCGAGTGGACTTGTGGCAGTCACATCCAAATCTGCCATTCCAGCGTCTGTTTTCGTTACTGCAACGTTAAACTATCATAAGCGCGAATGTTTTCACCAGTCGTGAGTAATTTAGTTCAATACGCTTACTCTTGAATGCAATATGATCGTGCACGGACACTGTCATAGGACCCAGTTCTTGCAGTTTCACTTTGGAAACGTCGAAAGCTTGACAGAAAAACGGCGAACCCAAAACTGGCTTGGCACCTTGTAAAACGTCGATCTTATACGTTCCTAAAAGCAGAAAAATATTGATATTTCTTTGAAGCCGATTAGATTTTTAATTACTTTACCGATTTCGATCGAGTCGGCAAAAATTACGTACCGACGGTGTTTGTAGTAAATTCAGCGAGTAAATTTCCATCGCGGTGCTGGTAACATCGAACTGGAACAGCATTACCCTGTGGCCCACTGATTACAACGTCGAATTCTTTTCCCGGACGACCTAATGTTTCGATCGTAAACGAAGTCACTTTGCCAACACACGATTGGTACAGTCCCAATCCTGTTGCGGTTACTTCTCTTCCACCGGTAGGACTTCGAACAGTTACATCAAGCGGACTTCCTGTTAACAGGACGACAACAGATAAGAAAACATGAACGAAGATATACAATGCGCGGATGCAAGCAAGCAATAATTGTCGAACCTGTAATGTGAACTTCGTTGTACTTTATGTGAACTCTGTGAGGAGCTGCTCGCGTTGGATGAAACACTATTTCGTAAAAGCCATTCTCTCCTTCTCTGACTACGCTGTCAACATCCGAGCCAGCGGCACGTACGTTCACGCACAGCTTTCCTGGTCCAGCTTCTTTCGACGCAACCACTAGAAATGGAAAATTTCTATTAGTATACAAATTGTAATCTTTATATGTGCACACTTAAAAGATCCAAATATATTGCAAGCACCGTACCTATGATAGTTCCAGGACGATGACACACGACGTCCGACACTTCTTTGATAGTTACTTTCCCAGGATCGAAAGCTTGAAGCGTTTGAGAACTAATAATCTTATGACCGTCGCTGAAAATGACGCTGTATGTTCCAACCTGTCGCGTTCGAACTTCAACTCGGTATAGATGGGATGATAATTTTGTCAAGGTACATGGAATAATGATGCCATCAGGACCTGATTAATTGAAGAATTGTAACGGAATATTACAGGGCTCTCCATGTATGTGTTTTTATTATCAAATAGCATTCGAATAGATAATTTACCGGTAACTTCAGCGGACACAGGGCCTTCTAATCCCGACATTTCCAAGTCCATGTAAGCTGTATTGCCAACGCGAATTATGGATGGACCATCCAACATGGTACTAACTACTGGACACTTGAATGGACTTCCTGATATGTCATAACAAAAGAATTAATTCTGTTGCAAGCATTATTTTATAGACAACGCGAGGGGCAAGCGCCGAATCACCGACCTGGTACATTGTCATCGTTGAAACTAATGTTCACGTAATGAGTACTAGTAGTTTGCGGAACGAATGTCACATCGTACAATCCACGAGCACAGGCAACTACCTCGGCTTTAACGGTATTATTCTCCGTACTCACTACCAATTCCAGCGTTCCTTCACCAGCTTCCGCAGCGTCCACCGTAAAGGTAGTTGCTTGACCTAACAGTGCTTCCGAAAGTCCAGAGACATGAACCTGTGTAATTCGAAATTTTTTATCAACACGGCAGTATTACAAATAACGAACTTTTCTGCAGCACGCCGATTAAAACCTTTACCTTGGTAACATCATAAACGTTACACGCGAAAGGAGATCCTTTCACGTGCTCAGAATCTACCAACACGCTGATGTTATGTCTACCCACTTCCGTAGGTACAAAACTAATGTTGTATTTCCCATCGACGGGTTCTATCGTGATAGGAAGGGATATACCAGACGGCGGCATTACGATCACGTCGCAGTTCATTGACGGAGCTTGTGGGTCCACCGTGAAAGACATCAACTGTTTAACGGCTCCCATTTTTAAATTGTGACCAGCAATTATTGCTTGACCAGCCCCAACTACTTTACAGCTGAATGGTGAACCTGTATACAAAAATGTTATTTACAGTCAGCGTAAAAGAAAAACGAAAACGAGAACAAACAAGATAGTTATACTTAAGGCTGTTGGATCTCGTTACTAACCTGGAACTGGTTCCCCGTTAAAACGAACGCTAAGACTATGAACAGCAGCTTCCTGTGGCTTGAAATTAACTCTGAACTTTGCGTTTCCTTCGCTTTGAACATAATTCGGGACATTTTTACCATTTACGGCAACAATGATCTCGAGATTACCAGCACCTGCTTGACTGGCGTTAACTGGAATTCGAAAATACATTGTTGCAAGTGCATCCAGCAACCGAATGTAGAATAAAACTTTGTAACTCACTGCTAAAGAAAACTGGTTTCCCGACAACACCGCTATTTATATCCGTCACCTTTACCTTGTCCGCGTTGTAAGCTTTTACTAAAAATGGACTACCTTCCACGTGCGATCCACTCAATTTTACCTCGACGCTATGATCACCTAGAAATTATATACGTTCTATAATGCCCTTTTGTGTGTGTGTGAAAGAGAGAGAGAAGGGTCGGAAGGGTTGCTTACCAACATCCTTCGGAGTGAAGCCTGCGGTGTAACATCCATGACCACTCGGCTTCACGTGAACTGGTAAACTCTCTCTTGTGGGTGAAAGAACTTCTACAGCGGGTGTTCCGAACGTGGAGTCCGCTTCTATTGTAAACGTTGTCAGACGATTTACAGATACTTTCTCCAGTCCTTCGGTCACTATTACTTTTGCCGTGTCGCTGACCTGCATTGCCAAGGAAAATATTTAGTGCGCTGGAAGGTTTCAACACGACGAAGAGAAAGCATTAAAAGTAATCAATCGGTCGTGCGTAACTGCAGCCGTAACCGTACCTGACAACTAAAAGGACTACCAGGTACGTCTTCCCCGTTGAACCGCAAGTCCACGGTGTGCACGATGGGTTCTCTAGGCGTGAAAGATATCGCGTACGTGTGTGGACCCTGAGCTTGAGCAGACGTAGGCACGCGACCACCGTTCACCGTCACCTCTAAGTTTCCTGGCCCCGCTTGACTAGTTTCAACTGCAGTAAGTAGGAAGCACAAACTGCGTGATATAGACGTATTGTTCGATACGCGTTACTCAATGTGTCATAAGGCAAATCCATACCTAAGAAAGTTACAGGCATTCCAATGACACCGTGTTTAGCATCCTTCACTTTGATAGCAGTGACGTCATAGACTTTGCAGCTGAACGGGCTGCCGACCACAGGAACATTCCGATGGCTTACTGAAATTCTATGTTCCCCGACTACTCTTGGCGTAAACGCCACGCTGCACGTTGTATCTTTGTTGTCAGTGACTTGAGCTGGTACGGCCTGTCCATTGGGTCCTAACAAGTCCGCCGGTTAGTTGTTTGATACAATTCAGACAAGCCGACTACTAGGGCGATTCGGAGGACACCAAAAGTTGTCGATCGGGATTTACGCGTGTCCAACAACTTCTTTTCTTAGTTGTTAAGATGCTCGATTACAAAAGCAATGTATGAATTGTTATGACAAAATGGTAGCTGCAGATGTATACGAGCGTAAACGTAAGTTCGACAAAAAAAAAAATTAGTTTGCTCCTAATAAATATATTTGATTAATACTTGGTTAACGCTACTTGTATGTCCGTTGCATGTTATTGTAAAACGAACGTGAAGCTATTACGCGAAAGAAACAAGCTAAATGTTTCAAGGATCGATGACGATTCGATGAAGGAAATGACTAAACTAGAGATCGATTTATGCATTGCTGATCGGTTTAACGTTATACACGCTACTATATAAACTAAGTAGTATTGTAATATATTATAATCTAGTTGGCACATTAGGTAAAAGCGCAACACTACAGACAGATATCGAACTCGACATTATTTGTACCATAGTGCCATAATACTTAACAATTAACTTGAAACTATCGTTATAGCACCATATGAATGGCTGTCACGAGAAATATACAAATGCACACGAGTGCTTGGTTCAGCCAAGGGTATAGAACCAAAATTACGAAGCATTAGACACCGTTTCCAGTATATATCCGCCAAAGTTGAAACCAAAGCCCATATACAATACTCTCGACATGGTAACCAACAATTAGAAATCACGGGAGAAGCATAAAAGAAATTATTTGAATACGTTTAGAAGAACAAGTTAGAAACCCACCACCAATTTTTTTTAGTAGTACTCCGCTATTAAGGTAAAAATGAGATTAGTTTTGTTTGAGAAGTCTAGTAATGTCGTAGTCTGAAAGCTGGCCGACCTGCAACAGAGAGAGAATTGCTCTCAAGCTGGAGATTAAGAAGACATTCAACGCACACACAGAGGCGCAATTTCTTGCAAATTTCCACCATAATTGAGGTTGAACAAAAGTTTCAAAAATTTCATACAAATGTGACAAACGAAACATAGAAGGTGCTTTTTATACATACTTCGGTCGTCGGCAGAACCGTTTGTGCAGAAACTCTTAATTATCTGGCAACGTTGTAACGGCTTGGTATATTAGATTCGAAGAAACGACGATCACAAAGTGATGTTGGTGTGGAAGTAGTGATATTTGTGCGACAATGGAGATCATACTTTGATCGATACACATGCGACGTTTACATATTATAGATTAACATAGACAGTGTCTATAAGAATGGAAAATGGAAGCTAATTTACCTTCAACGTTCACTTCTAAATCCTCTAAGCTACCGGCAACGTTACTAACGGTAAGATAGCTTTGTCGTCCTAATCCAGCACTGCTCAATGCCTGCCCACTCACTGTTACATGACTATCACCACCTACCCGAGTTACGATCGGGCAGCCTGGCACAGTTCGTTTATTGAAGGCTATATTAATTACGTGTTCGCATGCCTCAAACGGGACAAAGCTGACCGAAAATCGAGCATTTCCCTGCGGCGTCACTTGCGTGGGAATATTTTGATTGCGAGCAGATATCGTAATTTCCAAATTTCCTTCGCCGGCTTGACTCGCATCGACTGTAGGAGAAACAAACGATTTCAGTGACTCGAGCGATAGTTCCCGCGTCTATTTTCATCAATTTTTCTTTGCGTACCGGTAAAGTGCGTTGGCTGGCCGACGCTGCCCCTGGCTACGGGACCGATTAATACTTTATCGGCATTGAACGCTTTGGCTAGGAATGGTGTGCCATTTACTGGATGTCCATTATATTCGACGCTGATCGAATGAACGCCAACGTCTCTAGGAATAAATTCCGCCGTGAAACCGCTTTTTATGTCACCCGTTACTTTAACAGGCAATTCGTTGTTTGGTCCTGAAAAATCAAATTTCTCAATATTCCGATATTCTCTTAATATTTATTCAATAGCAAAAGAATTCGAGATCTCCCATCACCAACCTCTTACAGAAACGGCGAGTTCCGCGCTGCCACTGCCATCGACTCCCATGTGGAAGCAGGCAGGCTGATCGACTGGAACTAACTCCAGATGATTTAAACTTAACGTTACTCTGCTCGTGTCGGACACGTTGCAAATAAATGGGCATCCTTTTACTGCTTCTCCATTGAATTTGATGTCTATGTAATGCGATTTAGCGATCTCGGGAGTGAAGGAGACAAGACAACGTCCTCCTCCCACCACTTGAACATGATTAGGCACTTCTCCCTCGTTTATAGAAATTTCGAGCTGTCCCTCGCCAGCCGCGCTAGCGTCAACTACAATTTAAGAAAGGTTACACAATTTTGGAAGCTGAATTTATTGACTATCCGAGGTGGTCTCGATTACTCGCCTCTAAATTGGCAGGCATGTCCCACCACAGCACTGGGTACATCGGTAACTTGGATTAAACTGCTATTGTACACCTTGGCGACAAGAGGTCCTGCCGGTAGCTTTTGTCCTGCGATGCTGACTTCTACCAGGTGGCTGCCCACTTCGGTTGGAGTGAATTCTACACGAAACTCTCCCGAACGTCCAGGCTCTTCTTCTATCCTTGCTGGCAAATGCCTTTTAGAAGGAGCTAAAAAATGTTATAGTTTCTTTAGAACAAGCCATTTATAACGATTAGTATTACTTTAGGTATACCATATATATTACTGTAAAGCATGCTTACTAATAATTTGGACGTCTATTTCATTACTGTTAAAACCGAGGGCAGACAGTTCGAACAATGCTGGACTACCAGCAGGAACCAATCTTATGGACTCCCCGATCACTGACATTTTTGGAGCTGGCATGATGCCCACTCGCCAAGGCGATCCTGCAAACACGTAATCATTCATAATATCACAGTTGCATACTACGCTAACTTAACAGACAAACTTTTTGGAAGCAAATCACCTCTTTTCAGTTTAGTATTTTCACAGAGAAACATTATTTATAGTAGATTGTTTTTATAACAATTAAATAGAGAACACGATACATTTCGAATAATCGTTTATTCGATTGAAAACGAGACATCGACGTGTTTTAATTTCACAAAGTAATCGATCCGTACGAAATCGGTCTTCGAATCGAATTTCTATTTCCCGGAAGTGCAACGTGACTCCCAATCAGATGTCACCTAACCTTCATATAATTGACACGAAAGCACGCGCGCAACCACGAAGGAAAATATCTTCTGGATAAGCCGCGGGAAAATGTACCGAGCTACGTTTACAAAAGCACACGAAGAGAATGATCATGTATGCGTATAACGAAACAAGATCGAATTACCTCAATCGCCCTTAATTTCTAGATCGAGAAACCTGAAAGAATGCTGAAACCCTAAACCGAAGAAAAAAAAAGGTGTCGACGAAGTAAATGAAATTACACGTCGATCACGTAAGTACCTAGGAAAAACACGAAAGCTAAACCCGTATGCAACACAACAAAGTAGTTTATTCACAAGTCACACTTCGAACACGATCATAAGTATACGAACCACTATCGATAATCAAGTTTTCACAGCGGCAATAGCGGTTCGCAAACCGATTCGACATTGATTATTCGACGCCGTTCGGTGAACGTTGATAGCGAATAATTTTGTCGCGGATCCATTACGATAATACGATTTTCAAAACACAACACACAGGCCCACGGAATTCCATAAAATACTGAAGTAAACCGGAACACGACAACCTATAAACCAGAGAACCCGAGAACCCGCAAGATATTTCAGGTTCGATTTCTCGACGAGGAAACGTCAGCAGATCGCGATTCACGACAGAGACTCGAACGAGTCGAGCGACGGGTCGAGTGTGCTTGCCACTGGATTGCTGTTCAGGCCCAACACCAGGGCCGTGCACTTGTTGGTACATGTCCGAGTTGGGCATCGGTCGATTCAAATTTTCTATTCACGCGCATAATTGATCGATCATTCAAATTACATACAAATTCGAACAACATCGAATTTGTATGGAATTTAAAATTATTCCTTGATACTGTTGATGCCGACTTCGAAGATCAAGCAAGTTTCCCATTATAGTATACTTTCTGAACTGTTCTCAATTTTCGCAACCACTTTCCTGATGCTTCTTTTGTCCGATCGAGATTTCCCAATTTTTCTTCTGTTCTTTACATTAGCACCATAAAATTCGCAATCGGATATTATGGTTGAACACTTTCTATTCCGAATCACAACGAACTACGGCACGCCGGAGAATCTTTTGCCAAGTAATTTGAATGGAACGATTATTAATTAAGCAATATTGTAATCTTAATTCTTATGAAAACGAATAGAAGAAAACTTAGCGAAAAATCATTATTTACGTCGAAACTCGCTCCAGTTTGTTCGTACTTTTCAGGACGCTAGAGCGAACAGATGTTTTCTGTGCTCACGATGATTTGCCGAAGAGCCAAGGAATATTGTCGAAATGTTTGCGAATACGTGCTGGCAGAAATTCGAGAGAGTTCGCGTTCGACGAGAGGAACAAGAACAGGGTTTAGAAGGAGGATGGTACGTCCGTGTTCTCCCATTCGTTTCTTGCTCGTTCGACCAGCTACAGTCTACACTCTACACTCTACACCTATACGTTTACATTTGCAGGATACCTGATCTGCGTATTTCGATACCTTAAGGCTTAAGGTCGGCCAGCCCCGCAAATAGAAACCTCGCTGTTTGCGTTCAACGCTCACCGGACTTACTTTTCGCGACCGGCCCGCAACGGACACAGCGATCGCGACCGCTATCGACGCCGATCTCCGAATATCCCCGGCACTCGACGGGGACCGACCGAAAAAGAGTAATTCTCCATGCATCGTGAATCGTGAATCGGGAATCGCGATTCCATTCAGCAACCGTGCTCGAAACGCGCGACGAATCAATCGCGACGGAAATTCTGGTTGCGCGTCGGACGCTAGGAATCGCGGTATGTATGTCGTATGCCGCATGAAATCAGCTTCGCGCTAACAAGAGTGACTGGTTTGTGTTACTTTAAAAAAAAAAAAAATATCGATTCATCGAGGAATACTAAAAAAACCAGAATAAGAAAGACGGGGATTCTCGAAACACTATAAAGCGCGTGAATTCGCGTAAACCGTTTTTGTAGTCTATTTGCGACGATAGATTCGCCATTGGGGCGGTGGCGCGTGTGAATCAAGAATAATAATTAATAGCCGTTAGGAGACCCGTGACAGAGCGCGACTCTCGATCTGTTCCGTAATCGCAAATATTACGAAATTTTAATGATGCCTCGCGTTTTGCAACCTACAATGCTGCGCCCATTTGCAGGTTTTCTTCAGCGAACGTAATCGTGGAGACACGCCGGGATGCGCTAGAAACAGTCTTGTCGCGTTTCACGGTACCGTCGACGTCGAAGCAACGTCAAATCAACATGGATTCGGCTTGGTTTCGGCTTGGACTCGGTTCGGCTCGGCACGGCACGGCTCCGCGACAAGTCGTTGCATTCCTCGACATAACGGGTCACGATGGACGGCGATTCGTTCCAAAATTTTCGAAAAGATTTGCATAATCGACCAACGCGCGGCCAACTCTTGTCTTACTTCGGCAAGAGGCTTCCTTGTAGCCAATTCCGTCGATCAATGGAGGTCAATGATAACAGCATCGATGCAGTTAACATCGAGGAGTAACTAGCAACGAAACCCGTCCGTCGTTGGATCGCCTAGTATCGCTACGAGCGAGCTCGCATGCTGTGCAAATCGGAATCAATTGAATCGAATATGCGCACGACTCTTTTGAATAATCGCGACGCAGCCGCACGTAACTGTTGCCTTTTGTCGTTGACACGTTTCACGGCGGACCTTTTAATATTAATATTTATCGATTCGTCTCGGCAGATCATTTTTAAAACTAGACAACCAGGACAATCTGAGAGATTCGTATCGCGATGCAAGCCGAAAAAGGAAGACGGACGAGTTAATTCGTTCTGGACGACGTAGATTGGAGAAGCGTCGTAGAAGCGTCGGAACTCGAGACGAGTGGAGCCATTGTCACGGGCTCGCCGCGACGCGGTTCTAGGCGGGAGGATCAGCAGCATCGCCGTTGCAGCTCCGAGGCGTTCAAGTCACCGAAAGCGACCGCGTTGCGTAACAACGCGATAAGTACTATTTTTCTCCCGGTGCCGGGAGAGATGCGGTTTATTACTCGGCGTTCGCGTAATTAGCGGCGTAATCGGCGCGCTTTCATAGTCGACGCATGGTTTTGCCGAGCGTTACCGTGAATTAATTCGCGCGGCCCGATCGTGCGCGAACTTCTCCATCGGAACTCGTTAACGTAGTAATACGTACATATTTCCCGTCGTACGCGATCGTCGGCTAATTTGCAAGCCTCGAGGAAACGTTTTCGGTCTGCTTTTCGTTTCAATTTTCACGAATTTCCTTATCGACTTTATCCATTGTATTATTTGAGCCGTTTATTTTGAAAGTAACATAAGTCATAAGGGTTTGCGTTTTAACACGTTTAAAAATATGGATGCTAACCTTCGAGAAGATTTACTTGTATTCGTTATCTCAAGATACTGATATTTTTCTCCGTATAAATAATTTCGTATAAACGTTAAAAAAATCACCGCTTTTCATCTTGGTAAAGTGACCTATGCCACTTTCAAAATAAACGGCTCATTTACCTTTTTGCCACGGTACACAAAAGAACGCGGGATGTACAATAAATCCTGGGAAGAACGCAGGATTTTCGAGGATTTTCAAGAATCGCAAGTGAAACAGAGAAATTGGCACGATGATTCGCATTCCACGTGTCGCGCCAAGTAGTGTCTTATTTCTACCGGGCGTACCGCGAGCAAAACAATCGTAAACATCTGTTTGCTGTGCCTCGCGATAGAAGCGTCGTGCTGTGCCGTACCGTGCCGCGCGGTGCCGGTCGTAGACACGGCTGCAAATTACAGGTATCGGTTGGCGCGCGTTCGAACGAAGAAACCGATCTTTCTTGGCGGCGATCCATAAAGCGACAAATGTCGCGGCGGCGCGTTATGGTTGCCGAACTATGTATGTGCGTATGTGGAAGTCGCGGTGAAAATTAGCGAGACGTAAACGATTACGTTTACAACTACATACGTAGGCAGAGAGAGAGAGAGAGAGAGAGAGAGAGAGAGAGAGAGAGACCACCGACTCTATCCGCGTTCGCAACCAAATACGTCTGCGAGCATATAACGGCTTTAACGTCGCGACCACACCCACAGTCTCTACGATACTCCGTTTCGGTTGGTAATGTATCTGCGCGTTAGAGGAACACCGGCCGTTAAATGCCGCTGGAATCGCTGGAATCGTTAGATGAAAGCGGTGACGTGTTCCCATGGGGAGAGAGCCGTAGAAGAATACATGTTACATGTATTGTATATATATATATACGGGGCCTCACGGCTATATATCATCGGAATTCCCAGAGAGACATCGCGCGCGTTCTTTTCTCTATTCGGCTATCCTTTCGAGCATCGATTTTTCCGCGTTCTCCACGTGTCGCCGAAGAAGATCTTATAGAGTCTCGCGAAGAGACCACGAACGCACCGTGCGATTCGACGCGAATCGGCGAACAGAGCTCGATCGGCAAAGAATTTCTATCGGGCGACCTTGACCACCATTGTCGGCGTAGCTCGGGTTAAAACAGGAAATACGTACTTTAACGTACGTATACGACGCGACGCGTCGCAACGTAACGCGCAGCGGCTATCTAACTTGGAAGAGAGATCGTAACGGAATCCGAAGCATTCTGATGCTAATACTCGCGGTGATTTAGAAACGGAATGGGGTCCCGAGTGCCGACCAACGTCTTCGCTGCGTGCTGCAGGCCACGTGCAACGCGTGGTCACGATTGCAGAATAAGCTTCTCTCGGCAAGGCAGCCGAATATCGTAATATTCTTCGCACGTCGATGCTTGGCGTAACACGGATTCGATTATGGTCTTACTTCCGCGAAGAGATTCTCGATCGAGCGCTCTTCCGATCGTATACCGTCCACAAGATCTTCGGCTCTAACGTCGATGAACCGCGCGAGTCGCGTATGCGTATCGTTGAAATTGACCGAACGTGGATAGAGTCGGTGATCTCTCTCTCTCTGCCTACGTATGCAGTTGTAAACGTAATCGTCTCGCGTTTTAGTCTCGCTAATTTTCACCGCGACTTCCACATACATACGTACATACATAGTTCGGCAACCATAATGCGCCGCCGCGACATTTGTCGCTTTATGGATCGCCGCCAAATCGGTAATAAAATTGAGATTTTCTCGATGTCCGTGCCATTCGAGGATTGCTATTGTTTGCGATTCGATTTGTTTCTAACAGGCCGTTTTCGTTGAACGATTCGAATACATGGAGGTGAACCGTAATATAATTTGCCGCACGGTCGAGGGCAAGGAGCAAGAAGAGTTTCGACAGGAAATTCCAACGTTGACGCGAGAACAAGGAAAATAAGGGAAAAAGAGCGGCACGTTTTCATCCTCCGGGTGAAAGGCAATTCCGCGAGCATATTTATCCGATACGTTGCACCGGCACCGCGAAAATGCATAATGGAAGAATTGCTGCAGCGGCGGCGTGTCCGCGTAGCCGTGTGGGTCGGTGGGTAAACGAAAGGAAAAAAATTCAGGAACGCGAAGAACACGATGACGTCGTATATGTGTCAGTGGAACATCACGTGGACGCGTGAAATCGCAAGTCAACGACCCGACCAATGACCTGTTGACTCGAAGACGAGCGCGGTGCCTCGGCCGCGAGGTGAAATTCTAGGTGCATGCGCCGAGGAACGAGTGCAATTTTTCAGCGAACCGCGGCAGCATAGACCGGATGGACCGGACGCAAACTTTGCAACCTCGCGCGACTCCCGCGAGAATTTCCAAACAGATTTTCATTCCGAATTCCTCTAACCGTCTCTCTGCTCGTGAATTTCTCGCGCCTCCAGATGCACAACTTCCGGCCCGTGTAATTTCGAAATCCGAAGCGAGTTTCGTCGGGAGAAGAGAGGATGAAACGATTAGAAAGGTTTGGTGAACTACGAATCGAATGCATCGAGTACTCGCAGGAATGAGCACATCCAACGTGTGTACAATCGTACAAGGATAGATAAGGTCGTTGACGAAGGAAGCAGAGACCGCGGCAAAATGACTTTTCGAAGCGGAAACAAGCGGAAGCAATCGGATAACTTTCACCAGGAAATTTCTGTCGTAAGACTGATCGTAATACGCCATCTCGATTCGAATGGAAAGTCATCATCGGACAACATTAGCGTTCGATCTTAGCGCGCGACGCGAGCCTTTCGAGTTCTCGGGTCGAAGACGAGCAAGTAGAGAGTATCGAGTATGCGACAGGAACAGAAGAAGAAGAAGAAGGAAAAGGAAGAAGATCGGACTTACCGGGGACGACCTCGCCGTTGAACGTCATCTCTACCAGGTGCACAACAGCCTCGTGGGGCACGAACGATGCCAGGAATCGTTGGCTGCCCAACGCTCTCACGAAACTCGTCACATGGCCACCGTTCACGAGAATCTCCAAGTTCCCGGATCCAGCCCTGGAACCGTCGACTGTAACAGGATGCAACAACGGCTTTAGAATGCGCTCGGTCGTCGATACCGAGTCGCTTTCGGTACCTACTCTCAAATTCCACGGGCTGATTGACAACGCCATTCGGAATGTTCCCGATTTGGATGGCGCGCGCGTTGTAAGCTTGCGATCTGCAATCATAGGAAACGTTCCTCGATCTCGATCTCGATTTTCCCGATCTAGCCGACGAGACGGCTACGGATTACGTCGATGCCTACCTGAACGGAGATCCTGGAACCTGCTGGCCGTTTACCAATATCTGAATCGTGTGCTCGCCAACCTCCTCGGCCGTTACCGCGTACGTTAAACCGCGGAGAGTCGACCTTTGCACGGGAATTATCTTTCCGCTCGGGCCTGGAATTCAAGGTACCGATCGTTAAACCTTATCTGTAGCCTGTACAAATGCCGAGAAACGAGGAAACGAAGAGCCGCCGATGGAACGTACCCGAAACGCTGACCGTGACTTTGTTCGGGTCCACGCTCGAGTCGACGACGAACGTGGTCGGTCTGTGAATCGGAAGCATTTCGAGGGCGTTTCCGGTGACGAGGACGGAGCTTTTGTTCTGCGTGCTCGCATATTCGGGAACTCCGTTGTTCAGATATCGATCGTGCGGGCCGTCGGTGGTGTCCGTGCTCTTGTAATGGATGTTGTTTTTATTCTTCAAGATCCCCTGGGTCTGGGTGCGCGAGTGCTGGTTCTCGTTGCCGTATTTCTGGGTCGACGACGAGTTCGAGAAGCCGGTGGCATGAGCGTGCGACGACGCGCTGTTCCGGCTCTGAGTATTTTTGTAGTTGTTGTTCAAGTAGCTATGGTTGTTCGCGGTCTCGGTCGTGGCCGTGGCCGCGTTCTTGGTCAGATTCGCCAAGGACTCCAGACTGCCGTAGGACAGCAACGATTTGGTTTTCTCGATGGCGTCCCAAGAGTCGCGCCTAGATGTTCCGCAAACCATCGACGACACTCTCACGTTGCTGCTCGTGTCGATCGCTCCGTTGTTCTCCGTGGAACCTCTCCTGCCGAACCCGAAGCCCAGTCCAACCCCGAATCCGTTGTCTCTCTCGTTGCTCCTCGGACTGAAGCTTCTGTTGACAGGACTCTGCGTCGCGCTGCGGAACGCCATGGGGCTGCGATTCGGCGACCTGGACCTCTTCAAGGAGCCGGAATTGTAGATGTCTCGGGACTCTTTGAACGAAGGGGAGTACCTCGAGCAGTGGGCCGTTGGACTCGGATTAGGAGAACGAGTTCTGTTCACCGCAGTCGTCGAATACAATGCGTCCTTCGACTCTTTCGGACTGGGGCTCTGCACGGTGGGGGACCTAGATCGGTTGTAGACGCTGCTCGAGTAGGTCTCCCTCGTCTCTTTGATCGTGGTGGAGGGACTGTGAAGATTCCGAGTGATCGGGCTGAGACGGTGACCCTGGTTTTGATTATGATCCTGGTTCTGATTCTGATTTTCGTTCTGATTCTGACTCGGCGATTGGGTGCGGTCCAACGACGTAGACGCGTGATGGTACGTCGAGCTCGAGTTTTCCATCGAGTAGTTGCTCGTCGTCGTAGTCTTGTAGCTCGAGGCAGTCTGTTGCAAGGGGGAGTAGTCGCGAGCGTGCTGGGTAGGACTGGGAGACTTGTAGTAGGTTTTCTGTATAGGACTCGCCCGATCCAGTCCAACGGACACGTTCAGACCGTTCATCCGTCTCTCCAGAGAGGACAGTTTCGATCTGTCGAGGCTCGCCGTCGACTCCTTCGATCTCCTCGATCCTCTCTGCGTTCCCACTCGGATGGAGAACGGCGAGCCTCGCACGTCCGAGCCGTTGAAATAGACGTAGACTCTGTACTTCCCGGAATCGGCTGGTACGAAGGATACTCGGTACCTCATATGACCGTAATCTTCCATCCTGAACGGTATAGACTGCTTGTCGTGGACGAGGTCTACGATCACGTCGCCTAGACCACCGGTTCCCGTCGCGTCCACGATAAACGAGAACGGTTGACCCGGGGAGGCGCCGTCCGCGTCGATCAGCTGAGAAAATGAAATAACGTCGGGATTTAATACAGTCGTATCTACGTCTATCTTGCACGGATAGACTCCTAATTCGACGTTTCCGAATGCTTAGAGAACGAAAAGAAAAAAGAAGAAAAGAACGGAACCGAGAACCTGTATGCCGTTCGGATCGAACACGAAGCAGGTGAAAGGTCCGCCTTGGATATGGTTTCCTTTGTGAGTTATCGCGATGCTCCATTCGCCTGTCTCGTCCGGTTGAAAGGTCGCGGTATGCACACCGTCGTTCTCTTTCACTGGACACGCCAGGGATCTGCCGGTCGGCGACCACGCGGTCACATCGATGCCGTCATGACTAGTTCCTGAAAAATCGGATCGTTACGTACCAGCATGCGTGCCAACATGTTACACGCACAGGGCGAGCCACCCTGTAAATACGATGCGATTGCCCGCGTTCGTTTACCGTAACTGTTGACTAGAACCTCGACGATGGATCCTATGGCGCAAGGGTCCATGCCGGACGCTTTGATTTTAGTCAGGGAAGGTAAAACTCGAAAGTAATAGGGGCATCCGTCGACCAACTCGGCGTCGTTGTACACCATCAGCTGAAACAAGAAACGACTCGATGTGAGAACAGACGGAGGACCGACATAGAGAGATAGCGGGTGGTCGCACGCGTCGTACCGCACCTTGTGCATCCCAATTTCCGTAGGGACGAAGGTTCCCTTCCCGTGGATTCCGTTCCACGCGAGCCTGCACTCGATTCGTCCGCTGGGAGCAATCACTTCGCCGCGCACCTCCCTCGTGTTCGCTTCTTTGGTAAGCAACTCCAGCTTGAAATGCGCCTAGAAACAGGATTGCCGACCGAATCGCTGAAATTATTTCGTGGAGAAGGGCACGGTTCGCGGCCGGCAGGCTCTCGTCGGCCGATCTTCGAAGGAAGAACAATCGTTCGACTAACCGGTTGTTGCACTCTGGCGGATGTGCTGTCCACGTGGACGAGTATTTGTTTGCTGGCCTGAGGGCGAGGCTTCACCCACTGAAAGTATGCCGCGTACGCCATCACGCCTAAATGTTCCACGTTCTGATCCGCCATATCTTTCGCCTTGAGGATCGGCTCCACGCCTAGTTTCTTGCCTCCGTCGATACCTTCGGGAAAATAAGAAACCAGCGTTACATAATCCATCACCGCTACCGGAGCACGGGATCCGGCGTATCAACGGTGATTCCTTCAACCCTGCGTCAGCTACCACGCTCGGGCACGAACGTCCTCCGATTCGAACGTGCGGCCGGCTTTTCCGTTTGCACGGTGGCCTTCGAGACGATTCGTTTACCATTTTCACCCGAGTATTTTCGTTCGAGCCGAATCCGATCTTTGGCAAGCAAAAGCTTCGGTAAAGCGCCGGAGAAAAGAATGCGGCGCGATCGTCTCCGACGATCTCTCCGAAGCGTGTCGTTCGTTCGCGCCCGCCACGATCTAATTTGTAAGCGGAACCGACGTTTACCCATTTGGATATTGTGCTCCCATGCGGCGGGGTCAGGATCGATCTTCTCGTAAGCCGGGGCCGGTCCGCCCAAATTTCTCACGACCCCGCAGAGGACTCTGCCGTCGTTCCAATCGGTCTGCAACACGGTCGATTATCGTTCGGTTTCGTTTATAAACGGAAGGTACAGCACTCGCGAGTAATTATAAAGCGTGCACACGCGCTCACCGTGAAATTCTGCACGGTGTGACGAAGCGACTGGGAGTTGACCCACCGTAACGTGGCATCAAAACCGGGCGAGCCTTCCTTCATGAAGTAGGACAAGTAGGTCATTCCCGATAGTTCGTCCAAATATGGAGACGCAAGGTACTCTGGTTCGAGTACCATCGGTATATCGAAGTCGCGTTTCGCGATCTCCATGGCTTTCCGGCAATTGTACACGCTGCGATCGGAAAACCAAATAAATCAGTTATATCGAGTCGGGAAAATATTTGCTGGTAGACGACGATCCAGTCCCGATTCGGTGGCGTCTTTCGTACCTATCGGTTGGATCTAGCTGCCGCCAGTGAAGGAACAGGCCCGGCTGGCAATAATCGAGCAACGCGCTCAGGTAGACGCCCGAGTTCCAGTCCGTCGTGAAATTGTTTACTCTGCACTCCGGTAGGACAGCCTGAAAAAGGAATCGCGTCGATGAATCGGCGTAATCGTCGGAGATTTCGTTACATATAGCACGCGTTTCCAGGTTGGGATTGCGGAGGTCGTCGCAGGCGCGCGCTCGCGCGTCCCGCAAGGTCGACCGTGCAATTACGTGTACTGACCTTGAGCCATGCGAGCATGAGTTTCCTTGGAGGGAACTTGGACTTGCCTATTTGGTATCTGACGATGAGCGACCATATCAGGCCGAGGATAAGCTTCAAATTTCCATTCACGATGTCCACGTTGCCTGCGAACAAGGACGAAACGAAACGTGAGGAAAACGAAAGGCGCTGTTTCTCGAAGCTGCCGTTTTTATTTTATATACAGCCGGCCGGCTGTCGATGACCCTCCGCGATTCTTGATCGCGTTTCTGAATCGCGGCTCGCATCGGTGCGGATGGGATGCGCTATGCCGCTCGGCGCGCGGTTTATCGAGGATGCATCGCGTTGCGCGCTCGCTCGTCGAGAATTTATTTAGTCGGCAGGCATCGTGTTGCACGAGCGTAATCGTATAATGGGACTCGGGCAGTCTCGTAGGCGCCGATAGAGCGCAAGAAAGGCAACGACCTCGAAGTCCGATTTGCGAGCCGTGACGTAACAGCTATACATTTTCGAAGTTGACGCGTAACCGGCGCGGTACGTTCCAGGCAGACGTTATTACAACAGTTCGCTCGTTACGAGCGAACGCTCGGCCCGCACGATCCACGGCGACACGCGGCACTGCAATGCATCGATACGTCCGTAGACCGTCGATTCATTAACCTTTTCGGTACGGCTGAATTCTGCGCGAGGCTATTTCTCTGGACGGCAGAGTCCGATACGTACTGTACAGAGTCCGATACTGTATATTCTGTCTGTATATACAGGGCGTCCCAAAAATGTCTCGCAATCCGAAAGTGGCGGGTTCCTCGGATCGTTCGAAGCAACTTTTTCCTTTACAAAAATGTTCTCCGAGGCGCCGTTAACGAGTTATCAACGAAAAACACTGACCAATGAGAGGCGAGCTCGGCTGGCGCGAGGCGATCGAGCCAATGAGCGGAACCGGGCTTCGCGCGCTGGTCGGCTGGGCCGCCTTGCGTCGGCCGTACTCGATTCTTATTGGTCACTGTTTTTCGTTGATAACTCGTTAACGGTGCCTCGGAGAACATTTTTGTAAAGGAAGAAGTTGCTTCGAATGATCCGAGGAACCCGC